AGAAAACATTCTGATTTTTCAGTTCTCATTTTTTAACAAAGCACTTTTCTCCATGTATTGTCATAGCTGGCTTCGGTGGTAGTGTCTTATAGTAGCCTGGAAGCTTTGAGGGTCAGGGATCTGCTCTGTCTGGTACAGTTGTGCTCAGTAATATTTGGTGACTGGACTTGGAAACAAAACTTGAGAAAAGAAGGCAGACTTTGTAGTTATGCTTTACTTCTGGCTATCAGCTTTACTTGACTATGTGGATTAGCTCTCTTTTGCTTTCAGAGTTCACCCATAGTAGATTTAGCTGGTTGGCCATTCAACCCCTCTTTGTATTGAATATTAGAATTTATGAGGATCTAGGGGGAAATAAAAAGGTGAGTGGTGATGGAGTGCAGTGGTGAAGGTCACAGACTCAGACAATAAACTGCCTGGGTATGAAATTTGGCTCTGCTGAGTTCTTGCTTTGTGATCTTGGGAAGGTCACTTGACTTCTCTGTGCTTTAGTTTTTTTTTATCTGTAAAACAGTGATGGTGACAATCCTATGTACCTGATAGGGAGGCTGTGTGGATTAAATACATTATTAGACGTAAGACACTTGTCACATTGCCTGATATAAGTGGTAGCTATTGTTGTTACTATTTTTTCCCTAAGAAACAGCATTCTCTTTCGTTAACTATAGCTCTTAAATTATAGTTTCTATAAGCCTCTCAATTCATTCTATCCAAAACTTTCATAGATTATGAACTTGATGTCTTCATCATTGTTATTTTATAGCAATTATTTTAAGCTTGCTTATCTATTCTCATTTCATTAATGTATGCTCGTCATGACAAAGTGATAAAACTGGTTCTTTAAAAATAACCTCTGATATTGTGGGTGAGAGACAAGAATTACTACCAAATGTTATTCCATGACCTGTAGCAGTTTCTCATTTAATGCTCTATATTTATTTTCATTTTATGGTTTTAAACATTTATTTTCTAGATTCTAAGCTCTTTGAGGGCAACATTTCTCCCTATACCTCCCACCTATACTGTTCTTCATGAATATTTTACTGATATGCAAATATAAAATGAACAGTTAGATTCTTTCTCCTTTTATTACACACAGGAGGGACACTGAGTAGTGATAATCTTACCTCTTAGCAAAGGTATCTTTGCCAGATTTCTTCTAGTTATTTCATCTGGGAAGCTGAAGTCCTTATTTTCCACCCTCAAACATGGTGTCTGCAACTGAGAGGGGTATTCCCTTGGGAAACTGATTGGGGTGACTTGTTTATTTGACACCCCTTCTCCTGCAGATAAAATTGCTGATATTTCCCCTGTGGATTTAAAATACAGAACTGCAAACAGTGAGGTGCTGGACCATATCATTCCTTCCTTTCTTTCTTATACTGAATAATGTGTTCTGTTTTTTAAGACATTATTGTTCTGTCAATAGTAATAATAATACCTTCTCTTGTGTAGTGCTGAAGAGTTTATAGAGCCTCCTGTATACATTATGATAATCTGTACAATAATTTTTTTTACTTTATTTTAATCCAGTTATAGTAGAAATTTGAGGGCTGGGGGGGGAAATTTAGCTAGATGGTGCCATGTGCTTTACATACATCATCTTACCCAACCTTGTAGTAGATAAGCAATAATACTAACATTTCTATTTTACTAATATAAATCTAAGGTTCAGAGACTCTTATCTGGTATATGACACAATTGAGATTAAACTGGTTTGTCTAGCAACAAAACCTGTGCTCTTCCTATTATACAATGGTTGATTGAACCTTCATTTCCAGTCTACTTTTTATGACTGAGGTCACTGTTTTTTCAGCTTGGGGCATAACCGACAAATAAAAGTTGTATATATTTAAGATATACAAATGATGATTGGATATATGGACACATTGTGAAATGCTTTTCACAATCAAGCTAGGTAGTTACCATAAGGGGGTTGATATGATAAAAACAGATTTACTCTCATAGCAAATTTCAAGAAGATGCTACAGTATTGTGACTGTAGTTATCATCATGAACTTCTTCATCTTGTCACTGACTACCATCTCTCCCACAGCCCACCCTCAGCTCCTGGCAACCACTGTTCTACTCTCTGCTTCTGTGGTCACTGTTGACCTCTAGTGACACTGAGAACTATGGACATGCACATGATCTTAGAGGCCATTACAGGACAGCCTTTCTTTGCTTCTTTCTCAGAGAGCGTGTGCTTTGCTTTCCTAGTCCTCTGTCGCTGGTGATAAACGTGGAGAACACAGACACTGTGTTGCATTGTTGTCTGTCACTGTTTGCATTGTCTCAAACCAGGCAATGATTTGGGATGGGCTGAATTCAATTAGCATTCTCATCTGTCTTTCTCTACCCCATTCTTTCAAAACCCATTGAAGGTCCTAGAAAACTAAGATCACAAATTTGGCAGTTTGATTGACCTAGGGAATGGAGAGCAACGGCCAGTCCTCTAATGCACATTTCAAGGATATTTATTTCAGATTCTAAAAATCCAACCACTTGATTAGACCTGTGCTGATGGGAGTGCAATGCAGAGAATCTTGTGAAAATGAATAAGCTTGCCCCGAAGAAAGCTTTGGGTCCCAATAACCTTGGTTGGAAGGTAGAAACTCAGTGTTCACTTTTGGGTCAGGGAATCTTTGCTCGATATGCTAAGAGAATTCATTTTCCTTGAGTGTTTTTCCTTTCAAGTCACGTTTTACTGCTGGAGTTACTCAGCGAATTAATAGGTATAGAAATGCAAAGCTCTTTTCTTATTACATTCTATCGATCTGATTGCAGTGTCATTAATTGAAAGACTAGGAAAATGTGATGGATAGTTCAGCTCAAGATTCTACATTCATTTTGGCCCAGATCTGTGGAAGAAAGCTGCATGAAACTCACTGAAAGAAGCCTTTTGGTCTGACATGAATTATTCTTTCTTTGTCAATCCTTGTAAGAGCATTCAGTCCTAGTAAGATTTACAATGTGAAATTATAAACTGTTTGTCTTCTTAAAGGGAAATCAAAACGCAGAATGCTTATTTGTAGAGATAGAAATAATCCTTATTGTATGTCTCTTTTATAAATTACTTTATACGATCTCTGAAAACACCAGTTCGGACAGAATCAAATTCTGATTAAAAAATAGGAAGTGGGCATTTTACTCTTCATTTTAACTAATTTCATTTGGAATACTGTAGTTGTGAAATAGTATTTTTGTTTATTACCATTGTACCCATCTCATCCGAGTGGTTGTGTGTGAAACTTTAGAGAGACTGGCTGGTGTGTGGTTAAGGATTGTTTTTTTATAGTTATTTTCTTTTTGAATTGCTGGTACTACTGTCCCTTGGATTCACCCATAAATTTAAATTAACTTGAGAATTTGTGTATGTACAGATATGTCCACATACATATTTAGCACATGTACTTTAATATAAAAAATTTAAGGGAATCTTTTTAAATATTTTAATCCTCTACGTGAAGGGAAAATTCCTGGGCTGGGACAAGAACACACCAGATCATGTTTAATTTGTTTGCAAAAGCTGAGATTGTCTCCTTGCTTTCTAGTTATACTTTAATGAACTGGGCTATTTTTGTTGTGTTTATTATTTTAAATAGTTGAAGCTTGAAGTGAATGGATGGAATACTGAAATTTCAAGCACTTCTAAATGCCATAAAACATCATTCATCTCTTGTTTTTAATAAGCATTGTCGTTTGGAGAAGTTTAGAAGTTTAGCACACGTTCCAAATAATACCCCTCCTCCCAAATAATTTTTATTCTTAGTCTGTGGTGTTTGAATTGTCTTTTTCAAGGTTTGGTTTCTTCTCCTGCCTGTGCTTTAGGGTGGTAAAATAAGTCATTTGTGGAAAGATAGGAGGTGAGCAATTCACCACGGCATGACTTCATTTTGAAACACATCTTGAAAATGTATTTAATGCTGTCTGAGCGCAGAAACAATGGATTTCGGTTTGGGGTTCTCCTAACTGACCTTTGGCTTGCTGAGAAATATGGACCACTTCCTCTGATCATCAGCTACTCTCAGAGTGAAAAAGAGGCTGCACCCACGTTAGGAAGCGAATGCTGCTGATAAGTGCACAGGCTGCCTTACCCCTGATATTATGTCTAAAAATACATCCTCAGAGAGGCAGGCATATGCTCGCGCCTTGGTGTGAAGGAGCTCTCGCCTGTGTTTCTTGCTATACCCGTGTAAATTCTGGAGTGAGGAATTAAATTATTCCAGAAGCCCTGCCAGTTTTTGATTTGCTATTGTCTCTGCTCCTTCGCTGCCTTTGAATGGGACCCTTGATACAGGGCTTTCAAAGACCAGCCGGTGCTGATGGGGTCCGTGACTTGACGATGGCGCCTGCTCGTTCCTGTTGTGTTCTGCCTGAGGCATGCTTTTCTTTCCTTTTTGGGAGGCAGAGAGCACTGGGCAGAGGTTGCACTTGGCACATTGCAACTCCGTTGTCACTGCTGTGGCTGTTATTCCCCTCAGCGAGAGCCAAGGATCAAACAGGACGGTGGGTCACCTCGCCAGCTATTTAGCGCCTTTCCCCTGCTCCCTCTCAACCTGGTGAGGGTTTTTTCTTTCTTAAGTGACAGGGTTTGGTGGGGGGTTCCTGACCCTCCTCTCTACCCCTGCTTTATCTTGATAGGGACCTGCTTTCTCCTGATTTCTAACACCTCACCTCATTATGAAAGCTTGCTGCTAGACTCTCACGCCTCCTCCCTGCAACTCAGTTTTTCAGGCTCTATTGTTTGGGTTTTCTCTTTGAGTGTTATCTCCAAATTTCTCAGCTTCTATGGTTACCTCCCAAGTTAAAGGGGGTAAAGTGATTGTCTGAGCCATTTTGTCTAGGAAGAAAGAAAACAGAAATTGCCCTTTGGAGCCATAGTCCCAAGAAGAGGAAGAAATAGCAGAGGGAAGGAAGGAGATAGTATTTTGCAGTCCCTGCTACAGCTTGGCTGTGCATACACCGTCTTCAGGTGAGACTTTCTGTCTTGTTTACAGAGTTCGAGAAAGATGTTAACCTTCAGGGTATTTTCCATACCTTGCTTGAAAATAATTTCGATTCCAACAAGAAGTACTGAAGGAAAAAATGCAGCTTTTCAGGCACCAGAAAAGAGGGACAAAAATCACAGATAACGTCAGATACAAAGTACACCGTTCCCTTTGAAATTGTCCATGTTCAAAAGTGAGTAAATCAGCTGTTACTTTTACCTCCCTCTTTCTTCTTGTGTATTCAAGTTAACAATATTTTGATGTCCTTGAAAACAGAAAGCAAAGCATTGTTTTTCAGAAGTGTTGATTTTTTTGAGGTTTCTGCAAAATGAGATAAGAGTTCTTTATACTGTTTCAGATGGTTAGCACAGAATCCATCCCATGCAAGTTACCACAGATATATCTAATGCAAACTGGTGCTCACATGTGCAATTAAAAAAAAAATTCACCCTCCCAAACACATTCCAAAACAAACCCACTCAATTTTAGCCAAAAATCCAGACTTGAATGTAAACTACAGTAATTTCACGTATTATGGAGAATTGATCTCTGATTTTCTATTGCTGAATATTTTCCTCTCCTTTTTTATTCATCACTGTTTTATCACTTTCCTTCATACAAGCCACTGAAATGGACAAAGAACTCTATCATATGATTAATTTAAATTCCAGTGGCAGTTGATTAAAATGGATCAAACATGCTCTTTATTTGTCACTAGGTATTTCCTCTTAGTTCAGCTAGATGCATTTTATTCCCAGTGATTCCCCACCCCCCCCAAAACCCTAAAAAACTGTATTTTCCTGCAGACACTCCATAACTCATTATGCAGTCGGATATATTACTAACCTGGGATATTACACAGATTTGAGAGTGAAACAGAAACACAGGAAAAAGGTGCCTCTATTTGTAACCTGCAAGATGCATATTCCAGGTGCTGGAGTATTTGTGTGTCTTTCCACCTTTGTTCCTTTAGAGGCTTGTGAGTCTCAGTTATTGCTGACAAAATGATAGTTGTAGTAACTGCTATAGGTTCTTTAGATTAGAAATGCATGCAGACCTGGGACTTGATTCAAACACTAAGGAACACACACTTTTGTACACAGACAGAGAGTCTTCATACTAATAGAGGTGTGATGGAGATAGCAGGACACAGCAGACATAAAACAGGGGGAGAGAGAGACAGAGAAAGAGAGAGACGGATAGCAGCAAGTATATCTCTGCAAATAGTTCTAGGATGCATTTGCAAATGCAGAAACCTTCAGAACCACCCACCAATTCAGACACCCTTTTCATTTCTCTGTGGGATGCCTCCTTCCAGACTATTCTCAAACACACACACACACACAGAAAAGGTGAAAGCCCTGCCATCTTAGCTCAGAATTCATCGGACTTCCTTTTTTCCCCCCTGCCTTGTATTCCTCAATCCCTTGTCCATGCATCCGATGGCAGCCTCCCTTGCTCTTGAATGCCAGTGTCACAGCAGGAGCAGACAGAGGGTTGAGGGGAGGCATTGTCAAAGCCACAGTTGTCTATTGTTTCTTCACTTTCATTGCTCTGCAATTTTTTTTTTTTTTTGAGGCTTTCCCTTGCTAGTGGCCTCTGTCCAGGAGGAGGGAGAAAATTGCAAGACTTCCTAGAATAGTGGAGTGAAGTTTTTTACTGCATACTGTTTTGATAAACAGCTCAGCAATACAGTTCATGAAATTAGGAAATACAACAAGAGTGGAGGATTCTGGTGGGAGAGCAAAGGAGTGGGGGCTGAGGGGCTTTGGAGATTTGTTTGCTCAGCCTGGATGCCAAAGGCAGTTTCTTCACAGGGACTTCTGTGGCGATATTTGTTTTCTGCTGTATTTTCAGTTTTAAAAATCAAGAGAAAAGCCTTATTCATCTGTCAAGCCTTCCATTTGTTTATTTTTGTTCAGTTCAACAACTAGATGGAAATTTTAAGCAAGGCCAGATCTGCTGTTTGTGATTTGCGCAAATGTTGAACTCAGTTCAGCTTGAATTGTCTTTTTCAGATCATTTAAGCTTGCATGTGAAATGTGTGTGGTAACTTTCTGATGTATGCTACAAAAAGTGTGTTTGGCCATTGTGTGGCTGTAAATCTTGGGATTATGTTATTTTGCCCCTTAACCATGGCTGTTCTTTTGGGTGATATTTATGTACAAGAGGTTGTCTTCTAGGAACTATCTAACTTCTCTGATAAAACTACCAGAGTTTTCAAAAATTAACAGATGCTCTCAAAATAGATATTTAGGAAAGTATTTCAAATGGGTATTTGACATAAGCACGATAATGCTGGGAATTTTTTCCAGCAACATTATGTATTCTATATTTTTTCCAAATAGATAAGGGATAAAAACAGATCCCATACAGCAAGAATCAAAGGGCATATTAAATCTCAACTCCCCAAATCAAGCAATTTTTCTAAAAAGGCAAACACATTGGCAAATTTTATAAACTTAGTTTTGCTTAGAAAAATAGCATATTATTGTTTCTCCATATTTCCATCTAAACTTGTACTGGCTATAATTATCTAGGAAAAAATATACCAAATTGATCATTTTTTCTTAAGTCATCTAACTTCAGGCATGAACCCAGGATTCTTCACTATTGTCGGAATTTGCTAAACAGTCAACTTTTTCAAATCCAAACCGATATTAAATCAAGGGGAGGTAGAGCTGCCTGCAGAGAAAGACATTTCTTTTCCTATTTGAGGAGTCTTTCCATTTTACATCACATCCTGGTGGGTTGATGTTCAGTGTAAGCTCATGATTACTTTCTTTTTCAAATAGTGAATGTAATCTGTCTGTGAAGGCGGGGGTACAATAACTTTTGGGTTCCATAAAAACACTGTAAATTGGAAGTTTGAGATCTCCATGTCCAGGAACAGCCACTCTGGCACCCTGCAAATCCATTCTCTTCCTTTCTGTTCTCATTGCCTTGATTTAAGGGGACTTGGGCCCAGCCACCCTGCCTCCTTCTTTTGTGAAAGGACATTCTGAAATGTCTTTAGAAAGCAAACTTTTCCAAGAAATGCAGAGCGGGCCATGGTTTGAATGTGAATCTGGAATGAATTGTGGCCACCCTGGTAGCTCACTGTTTAATCTCCAGGACACACTGCATGGTCCTTGCAGCCACTCCAGGCCAGGAATTGTGAGCAATGAAAATTTATCTGTGATAAAGTTACATAGCTTTTGCCAAGGAACAGTCACTTGGGGGTTGATGCAAAAGTCAAACTTAAGTCAGTGTTTCCAAAGCCTTTGTGTGCAGGGAGGTTAGCCTGGCTAACTTTTGCAGATTATTTTGGACATAGAGGAATGGAAAGCCCCATCTTCTGACCAATTCGACTTTGGTAAAGGATGAGATGAGGGGAAAATGGCTGAAATATGATCAGGCCAGCTAGTGTTTCTGCTTATAATGCTGAAGACAAAGAGGTTAATGAAAGGTGCAGGGTCTCTATGATTGAAACCCTGTAAACAAGTTTCTTTTGCTCTCCAGACGGTGGAGTTCTCCAAGGAGCTAGCAAGAATGTTCAGACTCCTGGGAGTACAGATTTGGAAAGAACCCCATCTCTTAGTCTGTGCCCCCTGCAGATATTTAATTTCTGTTGGATCAACTTAAAAGGAACAACTGATCCTGTGGCCCAGGTCAATCCCCAGACATTTTAAAGGCACAAGTTCAAGTTCAACCATTAATCCAAATATTTTACACAACTGTCTGTAGTTGTGCCAGTAAGTCTAAAACTTGCAAATCATACAGAAGACCTAACCTGAACAGTTCTTTAAAATGGACTCACCCTGCTTCTAAAATGTTACATTTTGAATGCAATGTGGTAAAAAATATTATCTGTTCCTGAGATCTACCAAGCCCTTAAAGTACCTTTAAAAAAAAAAAAAAGGAAAAATAACATCTCTTGGCATTTTAGAAGAGCAGTTTGCCAAGAATTAAACAAAAGAGTACATGTATGTGTATATTGAAGATAAACTAGGATAGCTGTTCTATTTTTTACTACTATGCCCTCAGGTTTATTAAAAATAATCACTAAAATGGCAATGTATGGCTCCTAATACTAAGCTTGTTTTCATTAATTGAGAACATTTTTTTCAAAAGCATTTATTTGGTTGAAAGTCTATAGTTAAGTAGCAGACTCACCTCTCAGGGTTATCACTTCTTATTATCACATTTTGGATTTCTTTTTTTTCCCCGTTCAAATTGGGAAGATAAAGTTGAGACGCTTGCTTTTTTAATGAATAGCACACCTTCCTCAACTTTACTATATGAGGTCTTCAGAGATAAAATGCTCATTTAATTTCCTTTGCAGTGTAGAGTTCCTAGTACTCATCAGAAGTGTGAAGCATTATTAGCAAAATGAAGACTTTCTACAGTGCTAATCAACCAGCACAACAAATTGTACTTGTGATATTTTGGGAAGCAAACAGAAAGCTCCTAATGGTTTGCTAAATTAACAAAGAGGTGGCATTTTGATATGATGTTTCATGTTCAAGGAGTTGGGCTTAAAACTAAGCGACTCTGGAAAGTGAGGATTTCCTCTAGAAGAGCTAAATTTTATTCCTTCAACATATTTTTGGGGGAGGGGGACAAAGAAGGAAAAGACAGGCACTATTCCACTCTAGGTTAGCTGAAGATGTTAGGGACTTCCTTGAAAAATAATTACATTATTTTGGCAGTTGAGGTTTTAAGTATAGCATACGACTTGCAAGAATGTTCTAAAGGCACTATATGGTGATCCAGGACTAGACTTCTGTTTTTTTCCTTTTCATATTCATTTGTCAAAAAAAAAATAGAATTTATATATTTCATATAAATAAATGAAACAGTGACAATTTATAGAGAAAATTCCCCCACCCTCCCCACTTCTCTGAGTATAGATGTGGAAACAAATAGGATGGAAACAGGGAATTTAAATGCCTACTCCAGGACTTATAACAAGAAAGTGTGAGGAAGGGCATTAAAGGAGATATCTCAGATTAAGCATCCTTCAAAGGTTAGCAACTTTGTAATGCTTCTGAAGCCTTCCTCAACTCTTTTTACCAGCCCCCAACCCTTTGGACTCTTTGGTCCGATCCTTACCAAACCACTGGTAAGGTGGAATTAAAATAAATGCCCACAGGAAACAACCAGTGCCATCACTGCAGTGAAACCAGGTCGTCTAAGTATAAATCAAGAACT